TGTTTAAAAACCATCTTCTCGATCCCTATCTAGGTTTTGCTTCTGATCTAGTCTGGCCCCATGCAAATAGTCACCAGTTTGTGCTGCAGATCTTTGATATCACCAAGGGGGGGAGTAACACATTATTTCTCACTCACTGGTCAAAGCAGGGTGAGGAGCGGGGAGTGATCCTCAGAGGCCAATGAAAGTAATGGAAACAAGTCTCCAGGGGTATATGCACAATGCAAAATGTGGGTGAAAGGGGGTAACTTAATGAGGGGACCACCCTGAAAGTGACTTTCCAGGGAATATTGAACTTGTGCAAACGCTCATTGTTCCCCCTGGCGGATGCACACTCTGGAACTGATTCTACTCCCACGTACACCAGTGTCTCCAGTGGAGTTGCTCCTGATTTCCACCGGTGTGCATGGGAACAAAATCAAGCCCCACATGCCTTTATGCCACTTTAAGAGACAGGCGGTAAGGCCAGGAGACGGTGTTGTTGTTGTGGTTCTTCTACGGAGCTAAGAAATATTAGGGTAAAATTCTCCTCCTCGCTTCAGCGCTTGCCTGTATAGTGCGCGCGCCATTTTGTACACTTGGAGCTTCCAGTGAGGTCACAAGTGAGTATCTCTGTCCCCCTCTAGTGGTGGCTGGGTCGCTTAGCTCAGGCAGGAGAGGCTCATGTGCTTCGACCCGGAGATCTTCGGTTTGAGACCAGCTGATGACAACCAGCCAGGGGGCATGGCGCTATATGAGGAAAAAGGGCAGGCTGGCAAGGGGCGGAATTGCCTTGCCCAGCCCCCATGCAACGGTGGGCTCATTCTCAAATTCCCTTCCGCTCCTCCCAGGTTTGGTGCCACCTTGCTTCGATTGTTCCTAGCAGACACGCGGAGCCATGGACTGGAGGATACCCTGGGCGGGATCTCCTGACCCGCATGCCCACAAACTAGGGTTCAGGATCTGTATTTTGTGGCTCCAGACCATGTTCTAAAAGAGAGGGTCAAAGAAAGCTAAAGGCACAAGGCTAAGCGTCCTGCTGGAAGGATGGGATGGAGGCTCCCAGTGAAAACATGGATGGGATGGATCTGAGCAGAGAATTCCCCCCCCCTTCCTTTCTTTCTCCCTTTAGCCTTGGTATTTGGGAGCCTCACCCTGCCAACTTCTGTAGCTGCTACTCGGGCTGTGACCTTGCTGCAAAAAGCAGGGAGGGGTCAAGGAATGCACCACCCTGTCCTACACAGGAGGAGGAGGAGGAAGGGAATTTTTAACAGTGAAACACGCTTACATCTCTTTGGCATCTGCCAGGCTACAAGAGGGCCTCAAACAAATCTAGCTCCCATTTCATCCCTTGACTTAAGGCCTGCGCAAGGGGTGGCGGTCGTGGCCTGGGATAAGTGAGGGGGAGTTGATGGTGGAGGGAGTAGGGGAGTGGTAGGCGTTGGGCAAGGGGGAGGTTCAGGGTGAAAGGGAGGTAAGGGGGGGGTTCTGCCCATGAGGAGCAGAAACGGGGGGGCAGAGGGGTATTTTTCTGTCCCAACACCCAAAGGCTGCAAGAATTGCCAGAATCCATCTGCTTAGAGAGCTGAGGTAATAGTGAGTCTCTAGGACAAAAGCAAAGAAGCAACAACAACAAAATGGTCACACACCTTTGGTACAAGAAAAAGGCACTCGTCTACCACGCTACCATCCGGTTCTCTCTCTCTTTCTCGCTAGGGGCTGGAAAGGGCTGCACGGGAGGGCTCAGAAAAGGAGCAGGAATCTGGGGCGGGGCTGGAGGAAAAGGGGGGGAAGGTTTTACTCATATACCTGTCACAAAGGTAGCTGGGAAAGTGGCGTTTCCAGCACAGACCAGACAAGGGGAACAAAATCTTTGGTATCAGACGTGATTTTCAAATCACAGAAATTGAAAACTCAAGTGAGGTAGCCTTTATTCTCGGGTTCTCACTAGAAATGTCTTTGCATCCTTGGGGCCTGCTTTACTCAATTTTTTTTTGTCACTTCCCAAACCAAGGCCCCTTCTTGGCTTCTCAGCCCTTGAATACTACTAGATGGGGTTCAGGAATCCATCACCATCACCGCTTCACGACAAGACAAGAAGAAACAACGTTAGGGGAGTCTCGGTGGCAGGGGGGAGGGAAACGACGTTGGCTTTTCCATGACTGGTCACTTTTGGTTGGCAGAACGTGATGTGGCGCCTGGCCTTTGCCTTCCGTCCCTCCCGCTCTCGCGTTTGCTCACGCTTTTCTAGTAGTCAATTGTTACGTGTGATTTGGTCAGAACCATATCGATCTGAGCCTCCCTTCCCCCCGCGTTTGGTTTGTCCCAACCTCACCTTTCCCAATGATTGCTTTGGTGTGACTGTCACAAGGCGTCCCGATAGCCTATGGGGACAATTCTAATACCAATCGGTTATTTATTTCTTTGTAGGTCTATTTCTTTCCTTTCTTTCTTTCCTTTTTTTTCTTTCTTTCTATAGTTTTTGTGTCTATAGCTGTATCTCTATAGATAGCTAGATATTTTCCCCGTCTTTCAACAAGGTGCCTCGCTGTTTCACAACAGATCATTTTTCAAAGTAAAGTGAATAGAAGAAACCGTAACGCTAGATCAAAGATGGTACTGTTTTACCCGCATCAATTCAATATTGTCCCTTTTTTTAAAAAAAATTTCCCAGTGTGGGGAGAGGCCTCCCCTTTTTCCTCACCCCTGTCTTGTCCCCGCCCATGCCTCCTCCTCTCCCCAAGGAGGCACTGGAGTTTTTTATGGAGGCATATGGGAGGGAGGGTTAGTTGGTTGATAGCAGATCTTAATCATCTTTCCTTGTGATTGCTTTGTATATGGCACGAGTCACCATTGAGAGCTCAGAGGAAACAATCATTTTGAAGCTAGTACCATCTCTCTAGGATTTCGTTTTAAGGCAGGTTGTTAATTGGCACAAAAAAAAATCTGTCGTCTTTCGCAAGTTGCCGGGGTTTTTTTAGGTGAGCTTTTTTTTTTTGGTTTTAATTCCTGTTTTGTTTATTTTTCTTTTTTCAATTTCTCCCCCGCTATATATAAATGTGTGTGTGTGTATATATATATATACACACAAAAACATACGAACCGTGTATATATATATATATTGCAAACGGATCCATATTTTTTGGTTTTCTACCGTGCACCAGTGTCGATTCCGTGACGATTTTGATTTTCCTTCTTTGGTAACAGAGACGAGGGAGGGAGCGGAGGAGACAGTGCATGTGTTGGGGATGGGGAAGAGAGACAAAGCAGTCAAAACAGAGCTTTGTTTGGGTTTGCTTATAAACCAAAACTGAAATAAAGGTGAAGATCATGGGCTGAGCCTGACTGGCCTCACCGCTCCAGTCCCCAGGAAAGAGCAGATCCTTCAGGCGAAGTCTTTCCTCTTGGGTTTTTTCAAAGGATTATTTTAATACCCGATTTATGTCGCTAAAATGTGCTTCTTGACCTGCTTGAACTCTAGGTGACACAGTGCAATTCAACGTAGCAGCCTCCGGCGCTGGCTCCCGAGTCCCCCTGCTTTGGGAGCAAGGTGAGCAGGGGTTGGGGGAGTGTTGTGACGTTAGCGTCTCCACGTTTTTCCTTGGGCGTGGAATATCTTTGGAAGGAATCCTAGGAGAAAAGGATCTCCTCTTGGGGGTTTTCTTTCTTTTTTTTTTGGACCTCTTTTGTGCACTTGGCGTCATGACTGGTGGCCGTGATGGATGCTCTTGGGCACTCCTCAGAAGATCAAGTAATCTTCCCTGTGTAGGGTCTCTTGGCTGCGAGGTGGAGGTGGATGGAGTGAATGGGGAGAGGGGGCAATCTCTTCCTCACAGCCTACAGGTCTCATCCTGATGTGCCCAGCCCCCCAGGGGGAGCTACCGCTTGCACTGGGCTAGCTCGTGTGCAATAAGCAACACCTGTGACTACCACCCTAGTGCTTTGCTCTCCTCTCACGCTGGCCATCTCAGGGTCTTGAAAGCTCTTGACACAAACATTCACCCTTAAGCCTCCGGTCCCCGAGGAAGCATTGGCGCCCCAGGTGTTGGAGGCGAACGGAGGGTTTGGGGACTCTCCCAAGGGCCCTACATCAAGGCAGCGGCAGTGGGATTAGAACCCAGGAGTCTACTGCCCGTTCGCTATGCTCTCCCTGCTAGATAACACTGCCCTGCTCTCCCTGTGAGCAATAACACTTTAAAGGGAGCAGAGCACCGACCCTCTCCCCAGCCTTGGGTGCTCAGTTACCTTTAAAGTGTACATCTCAGCGTATCCTCTCTCCAGGTGCCCGGCACCTGCCCCCTGGGCTCGACGGGCCGGATTTTTAAACGTACGCAGGTGCCTACAGCTGCAGAGAGGTGCCTCGTGGGGTTTTGGGAAGGGTCTCGGATCCGAACTCCCGATGAAATCAGTCACTGAGATCAATGGGAATCAGGCACCTCAGCGCTACGTGCCTTGGACAGGCTGGGCCTGAATGCCTCAAATTTCTCCCCCACACACACACGCTCAGGGACTGAACATGTGGAGAGCGCGGGGCTGAAACTCACCCCTCAATCTCGTATCTTACAGGGGGAGGGGAAAGGCCAATAACGTGCGATGGAAATACGAGCCCAGCAAACGCGGCAGCGTGTGGGGGGCGGGGTGGGGCACAGTCTCCTCCGCTGCAAAAATCAGGAGCCCTCATTCTCCCCCAAGGGCCTGGGGGTCACTCACTCCATTGGGAAAGATTCCTCAGAGCTCTGAAGGGAAGGAAACCCCCCTGTTCCGAATGGTTCCCCTTTGAAGCGAGCTTCTTCCAGGGCTCGTGCGTGGCAGCGAGACACGGGACTAAGCCAAGGCCCAGGGGGCAAGTCACAGCATCTCTGCACGATGAGTTTGGTGGGGTGGTTTCCCTGCAGCACCCAAGAGCACCCACCTGGATGGCCAAGGTTGGCGTGGCTTGTTGTGGGATGGGCGGGGGGATGTGGTTGGCTTTGTCGTGAGGAGGCAGTGGCTGGGGGTCGGGGAGGGACAGAAGAGGGGCATCATGCTTTGGAGAAAGTGCTTGTAGAAGATGAGGGAACCCCAGGGTTGGCGCCCGCATCCTCCTGCCAGCGGTTCATGCACCGCCGGCGGGCGTTCATGAAGAAGTTGCTGACGGTGTTGAGCTCCAGGCCCAGCTGCTGCGAGATGGTCATCTGCATCTCCTTGGAGGGGCGCTTGTTCTCCTTGAAGATCGCGATCAGGGTGCGGCGCTGCAGGTCCGTGAAGACCAGCCGCTGCTTCTTGGGCTGCAGGTTCCTGTCTTTCTGCTGCTCCTGTTCTTTGCGTTTGCAGGCTAGATGTTCAAAAGAAAGAACACGGCCATTAATTGGGTGCGGGCCCATGGTGCCCTGCGCTCCTTTCTCACTACTTCCGCCCTCACTTTCGGCCCATCCCCCTCTGCCATCTCTCCATCTCTCTCTTCCTCTCTATTGCCGCCGTCTCTTGAGATGGGACCAAAGGTGTCTCCTTCTCCTTCCTTTCTATTGCCTCTGTCTCTTGAGATGGGGCCACCTGCCTAAGACATGCCATGCAAGTGACCGCGTGGAAGCCCTTGGAAACTTGCAACTCATGGGTCACTCTAGTATCTCCTTCTGGCAGCAGGGCTGGAATTGGAGGAAACTCATGGCTTGATTTTGCCCTCCTCACTCTCTGGCAATTTGGGGCCTCTTAATTCCTAAATCCTGAGTGGGGCTAATACAGGGAAGCATGCAATCCTCTGCCAAGTTTACAGCCCTAGAGCGGAGGTTCCAGTAGGCCCCATTGGAAACCTTCTGTTGCTCTCCATTGGTGTCTGCTGGTCTCTGCTGACCTCAGTTGGACAACCAACAAACCTGTGAACCAGTGGATCCTCAGACCTGTGGCTCTGCCCCTAAGCCCAGATGCCAACTTAAAACAGCAGGAAACAGCTGAAATTTTCTAAGTGGACTTTCTGTGACGGCTGCTCACATTTCCTGGCCCGCACCAGTGGTTCTCAAAGCAAAATGAGACAATGATCATTCAGCTCCCAGAGTGGATTGTGACGGGGTTTGCCCTCATTTCCCCTCTGTCTGTGGAATGGACTATGCGACGGTCCAGGGAATCTAGGCTTCCCCAACTGCCTTCGCTACCCTCTCTGCTCCCTCTCCTGCTGGATTCAAGTCCATTCTCAGCACGTCACTGATACATTTCTGTCCAACAGGACCAGGTCCCATAGTTAAAAATCCCCGCCATGCCCCCGTCTCGGCGCTGAGCAATAGGTCACCCCAGGAGGTGCGTTCCCCTGCGGGCGGCACACGGAAGTTGTGAGCAGGGGGTGAGCAGATTGTGAGCTCTTTGCACAGGGACCATCTTTTCGCTTTTTGTGTTTGCGTGGCGCCTGGTCCTGGGACATGCCTGGGGCTCCCAGGGGATACCTCCATAATAAAATAAATAATAACAATAAATAAATAAAGCCCCATTAAACTCTCTGCGCTCTGCATGGGGGCTGAGGCAATGACTAAATATATGGATTTTACTTGGCACAAATGCCCAATGTTTGCTCTTTTGGGGAAAACTTTTGCCATGTTTTGTTTTGTTTTTTAAAGGAAAAAAACCTCCTTGTTGAAGCAAAATGCGTGGCTTTGGGTTGCCATTTTTCTGCAGTATATGTTAAAGTTGTCTGGGCGTTTCAAAAGTGCCCAAGTGATTTAGGAACCTCGGGGGTGTCTACACTTCAAACGCTACAGCGGCACAGCCCTGGTGCTGCTGTGTGGACACTCATTACAGCACCAGGCGGGGTTCTCCCATCCCTGCGGTTAAGCCACCTCCCCGAGAAGCAGTAGCTAGGTGGACAGACGAATTCTTCCATCACCCTAGCCCTGTCTACACAGGGGGTTAGGTCGGCAAAGCTGCATCCAGGGCCGGCTTTAGGAGCTGCGGGGCCCGATTCGAATACCCGGCGGTGGGCCGGGTCTTCGGCGGCACTTCAGCAGCGGGGGTTCCGCTCTGGGTCTTCCGCGGCACTGAAGGACCCCCCGCCGCCGAAATGCCGCCGAAGATCCGGAGCGGACCCCCCTGCCGCCGAAGTGCCGCCAAAGACCCGAGTGGACTGCCGCCGGGTGAATAAAAAAAATTTAAAAGGCACTTAATGTGCGGGACTCTCTTAGGCATAGGGCCCGATTCCGGGGAATCGGGGGAATCGGCCTAAAGCCAGCCCTGCCTGCATCTCTCAGGAGTGTGGATTTTTCATGTCCCTGAGAGAGGTTCCTATGCTGATAACCATGTTCTAAAACGGCCCTTCGGGTGGGACTTACGGCGTGTCTACACTGCAAACAAAACCCCGTGGCGGCGAGTCGCAGAGCCTGGGTCTCTGGCTCGTGCTATGGTGCTGAAAATAGCCGTGCAGACGTTCCCGCGTGGGCTGGAGCTCGGGCTTTGGGATCCATCCCCTTCGCCAGGTCTGAGAGCCTGAGCGGGGACGTCTACACGGCTGTGTTCGGTGCTGTAGCATGAGCCTTGCGAGACCGAGGCTGTAGACCCAGGCTCTGAGACTCGCTGCCGTGGGTCTCTTTTGGAAGTGGAGACATACCCGGAGATTCAGCGTTGCAGTGTCTGACTTGTGGGTGCCCTGTTGCCAGCTGGGATACACAGCCTTGAGTCAGGCGCCCGGCCTTCCTGTACAATGCACGGGCAGAGCGAGATGCCCGGAAGCCAGCACAGTGAGCGGGGAGCCTCCTTAGCTAGCTCATCGGAAATGCCGAAGACAGGGCGGGGGCTCAAAGGAGTGAGGTGAGTCTGAGCTGGGGGGGGCGCACCTCGCTCCACGCGGGAGCCAGAACTTGCGTAAGATGTAAGTCAATGACGCTGTGACCAATTACTGCTGCTGCTGATCTGGCCCCAGGTCCCTACCACATGGCGAGCTCTCTCTCTGTAACTGCCCTTTGTGGATCAGCCGTGTGAGTGCGACATCACACACACTCAACACCTTCTCAGCTGGAGGATCTCCCTGGTGGGATATTGGTGCTCAGCTAATGGGCACGCTCTCTGCTCATGCCTTAAGCTCTTAGCCAAACAGACCCCGGATGCCATCAGCCCCCGTGCCAGCCTCACATCAAAAATATCTGAGTCTCATCAGGAGTGGTTTGTTCACGGACTTTGGCCAGCTGGAGCAGAAGGACAGGTTCCACTTGCAAGGATCTGAGCTGGAGTGGGCGAGTGAGGTTCTCTGGCCAGCAATGTGTGGGAGGTCAGACTAGATGATCAGGATGGTCCCTTCTGGCCTTAAAGTCTATGAGTCTATGGCCTCAAAAATTCTGTGGGAGCTGGACTGCTTGAGAGGACAGATGGGCCCATGGGCATGCATAGCCTGCTGTGTCCTATAGCTGTTGTGAAATGGAAATCCCTTAAAAATCAACACCAAATAAAGAAGAACAGAGGATACAAATTAGACTGGTGCATTTCGTTGGGTTTCATGGGTATGACATCCCCTACAGCCAATCAAGAAGCTCCATTTTTGTGTCCAGGATTCCAAGGCCATTTCAGACTCGTTTATCATGGGTCTGGCAAGGTTGGTCTGGTATTTTCACCTCTTTGCTCTGCCCACCTGCCATTTAACACTCTTAAATAGTATCCTCTCCTTTTCCCGATGATTCACAGTGAGGAGCACAATCCATCTTCATTGCCAATGACACAAGGTAAAGGTTCCTTGCCTGTTATTTAATGGTTTTATGGGGTCAGTTCAGGAGAGCTATTATTGCACCTTCTGAGGACACTGGGACTTGGTCTCAATACTTTGGCGAGGATCTTATGTCGGGGAACTCTACTAGAGTTTGTCTACACTGGAATTTCTAGTCATGTTTTCCCATGTGCTAACTAACATGATTGTAAATGCTAGTGTGGACATGACACACATTTGTTCCTAGTTGTGTTCAGCCCTAGGTTGCACGTTCTGGGCTTGATTTGCCATTGTTCTGTACCTTGTATGGTTATTTACACCAGTGCATAGTGGGTGTAAAACAAACCCATTTTGATTTTAGCGCCACTTTGCACTGGTGTAAAAGACTGTACAAGGTACAGGGCAATGGAGAATTTGGTCCAGACTGTCCTGTCTACCCCCGAATTTACGATTGTGTTCTTTAACATGTGTTAAAACATGACTAAATTTTTAAGTGTAGCCACACCTACAGAGTCAAAGGAATTACTCTAGAATTGTAGCCATGTAAATGAAAGCAACATCTGATCTCTAGAGTTCCAAGGTCCTCCAGAAATGTAGTCATGACACTATTCTAAAAACTACCCTCTAGCTTGTGGTATTTATGGAGACGTCATCCAAAATCCAGGTAAGCCGGGGTCATGAGCACCAGAACCCTGGCATCTCTACTTAATGATGCACATCACCTTTGTCCTAGCAGTGAGCTGTCCTGGAGTTGAATTCTGAGGGTCCTTATTCATGCTTTGCTCATTGCAACAAAGCTACCGTTAACTTCAGTAGTAGTTTTGCCTGAGCAAGTACAAAAAATGAATAAATAAAGTCCTGAGGATTTGGCTCTTTGGCAGGTGAGCTGGATTTAAACAAAAAGGGTGCATGTGTTTGTGGGGGGGGGGTGGGACGGACCTGTGAAGATTTTTTTTAAGCTTTGCCCTTTTTTAATTTCAAAATTTCTCATTTCCAAAAATTTCAAATAAAATTTCAAAACGTCTTTGATCACCTCTGTACTTGGTCAGAAAACAGAGGGGAAACATAAAAAAAAAAGTCCTCACAAATTTCCCCAATATATATCTATTTTTCATGTCCAGTAGAAATGTTATCAGACCTCAACAGCGTTGATGTGTAAATGGGGAGATATTTAGTGGGCAGGAAAGGGAGGGTCTCATTTTATACGGTCAGTCCCAATGTAAAGGCATCGTTCTGAAGCCGTCTGCCCTAATCTACCGGTCCCAAGCATTCCCTTGTGTCAGGCTTTGTGACGTAAAGGGATCCAGAGTGCAGGGAAAAGTCAGACATGTGGGGCTGATTCTCCACTGCTATACACCTTGTGTGTGGTCACGTACACCCGTACAAAGTGAGTGTGAAATCCCCCGGGATCAGCAGAGGAGTGTTCTACACCCACAAAGATCAGAGCGGTAGAAAATCACAATGGGATATTACTCTGTATTAAGGCCAACTTAAAGGTGAACTGAAATTAACTGTGGCCAGGTCTACACTACAGACTTACATCGGTATAACTGTGGTGCGAAAAATCTCTCCCGTCGGTGTAGGAGTGTCTCCACTTACATGCCGCAGCTGCGCCGATGCAACGTTTTCAGGGTAGACCTGCCCACAGATCCCAGCTCGCT